TAAAATTTATCAATCGAATGGACAGTAAAAATTGCCTAAATGGATGTCTTTTGACAGCAGCAAAAAATTGAAAAAACTGGTGGAGTTTTTTCAACCTAGAAGATACAGAAATTGAAATTAGTACAAAAATTATTTATGAATGGATTTGCCAAATTTGCAAATTTATTTGAATTAAAACACAGATAGAGGATGGAAAGTTTTTTTTATTTTATTACTTCCTGCGAATTACAGGCAAGCATCGTACGATGGATCTTATAACGATTTGGCAGAAAAGCATTTTAAGCAAAAAAAAAAATTTCATTTTTTTAAACATTGCTTTAAAATTTTACAAAAATAGGCCACATATAATATACACTATAAGTTGAGCAATCATTAGAATCAGGACTACAATGCTTACGAAGTTTTGCTAACATTTTTTTTAAAGCACTTGCAGTCTACTTTTTAAGCTTTGTTTTTAAAAAATGTTCAAAAAATTAAAACTGTATTGTAAAATAAATTTTCTAATGTCCCTAATAAAGTCTTCAAAGAAAAGACTTTACATAGTAGGAGGTCTCATTATTGAAAATTTAGTTTGTAAGACAGTTATACTCAAATGAATCATCATCAAGTTGTCCATTAATCTAATTCGGTACTCATTGCCAATGCATGCGAGATCAAAACTCTTGTAAAAAAATTTATCTCTTCGACGTTTTTAGCGCTGTCTCATCGATATCCAAATGTCAGCATTATATAGCTGGATGTGCATGATAAGACTGGTGGAGCATGATTTTCTTTAGCTGACCCCAAACAGTCATTTATAAGCAAAAATGATTATACGTTTAGTCTCTGTACTACAATCTCACCAAACTTCGTACTTGTAGCTATTACCAATGATTTGTGTCTCAATAGGTTCAGGGGATTTATTCGTTGATCGAATATATTTTGCTGTGTACTCGTTAATCACAACGCACAATGTGTCGTGCTAGTTAGGCAGGACATCATATTTTTCTTATTTAGAAAAAGTCCCTCTGAAAAATGAAGATGTCAATGACATTGTGATATGCTAGATGCCAATATCATATCTTGGATAGTGTCAATTCAAAAACAATCACTTGAGATAAACCAATATGGTTTAGAGCAGTAGTACGTATTTTCTGTTCAAAACCTTATTTCAACTTAATTAAGTGTGAATAAGTGTTGCTCTTCTCAATACAAACGGACCCGGTAACTTCGTCTAATCATATTAATTATGCGTAAATACTAAATTTTGACATAGTGTCTGTAAAAGTAATTTTCATTGTCAAAGCTATGATATTAAAATATGATCTGCAAGTCGATTACTTTTTCTGGGTCTTATACAGAATGAATTACACAGTGAATATCTTATCTTAAGTCACACTATTAACTGCCAATTAGTTGGTTTAGCAGCGTTAGATGTGAACGTGGTGGTACGACTACTCTTGGTGGGTTAGAGAAATATAGATTCAAGTCAAAAAATTATGTTTAACGAATAATTGAAGCTTCGTTAATATTTTTTTTATTCTACATAAATAGTAAGGTGCAAAAGCTACATATGGGTCTCACATGAAGCGGCGTAATTATCTCGCTTAGAGCGCTGGTAGTGTTAAAACTAGCAATGTCTCTTATATAGTTTCTTACATAATGCACTCGAGAGAACTTAATGTACGACATTCAAGAAACTGATGCTGCAATAGTTAATACAGTTTGCAGAATAACCATTTTTTGATTTCGGGAAGTATATTTATATGTTATTCATATGGTAAAATTTAAGCTAGTAGTCAAGGTCCAGCATAAATCGGGGTTCGTACTGTATTTTTGCTGATTTGAGAGAAATATTTGAATAAGAAAGCATGTATTTCATTATATATGTAATAAAGTTGTTATATTGTGAAGGAGAGAAACAAACATCCACGGTAGAAACTTAAAGAATACTTGAACTAATTTAACACTACTTCTCTTAGAGAAAAAGTCTAAAGTGTGAGTCCTTCTGTTATTAAACTTTTTAATAAATAATGAAATGGAACTAAAGAAATTTTGGTTTTAATGTAAAAATTTCTGTAAAAGTTTCAGTAAAATTATAAGAGACCTTAAAAACAATAAATCCATATACAGCAACAACAACTTCAGAATATTTAATAACATTGTCTTCCTAATGTGAAGTGGGTTTTGCTCTCAAAAGGGCAATTCGAAAACAACAAACATTTAGGCAACATCAGGAATAAATGACCCTATAAAAAACGTTAATCTGTTACTTACACATGCCGTGTAAATAGCACATCAATTCATTCATCTGATCTGGCGTTCATCTGATATAGATAAAAATCTATAAATAGCGCCCCTAGTATTATTGTATGGCACTTTGTTGGACCTATTTTAAAAGCGAGAAAATAAATTTTGATTTGATTTTGTTATATTATTTATGTTTAATAAACAAACCGGAGTATGACGCGGTTTGGCGATGGAATTCAGTAGTCATTTACTCAAAGGGTTCTCGAGATATTGTATTTTAAAATTGTAGACTTTTTAAATTGATTATAACGATTAATAACAATTACTCGCGCTTGATCATGTTTTTAAGATAAAAATATGTATATAATTTTAAAATCCGATATCTCGACAACAGATATATTGTAGTATAAAAATATGCTTCAAAAACTGAAACTTACCATAATTTATTATAAATATGCGTGCTGAAAACCGCAATCAAACCCAAATATATTTTCCAAGATTATTTGAACTACCTGAACAAATATTAGAAGTGTATGCGGTACAGCAGAAACAGTGGCGTAACTACATTTTTTAGGCCTGTAAGCAAATTCTAACTAAGGGGCCCCTACCAACATACTAAGGGGCCCCTCTTTTTATACTCTTTACACGAAAAAATGTGAAAAGGATATATAAGGTTTGTCAAGATTTTCGTAACGCTTTAAAGGAAACGTCGGAAATATCATTAAGTATATATCAGTACAATATATATATACTTTTTCAGTTCAAACTACTCTCTCAGCTTTTGAACTCTTCGAACGAAACTTTACACACATACTTTTCGGGAGCCATTTGGTTTGATTGAAATTGGACGTCTATTTCTTGTATCTGTGATATAAACTTAACAATCGGATATGAGGTTTCTCCGTTTTTAATAAAGGTATTCAAATGGAATTTGGTGTATACAGTACTGATATTTGCAAAAGACAACGTACAAAATTATTTTCAAATAGATTTAAATGTGGATATAGCTTCCATACAAGTCTCTCGATTAAGACACATATTTTTCTTAGAAAAACTTTTTTATTTTATAAATAGGTTTAATATTTTATTTGAAGTACATACATACATTGTGACCGAAAAGTTTTCGGAAATTCTCATTTAAAATTCGCGCGCTGTATATTTTTCGATATTTTAAGTTTATGTAGTTTGGCAGCACTTAACGACAATTACTATGCCAAAAATGAGCGCGATCTGTCAGACAGTTCGTTTACGGCAGCTGTTGAAACCAGTTCACCTCAGTAGTGCGTTGCGAAAAAAACAATGGAAAAAAATATTGAACAAAGAGTTTGCATCAAATTTTGTGTTTCGAACGAAATTTCGTGTGCAGAATCTTTGCGAATGCTACAAAAGGCTTATGGGGAATCAGTTTTATCGAAAACTCAAGTTTATGAGTGGTACAAAGCCTTTCAGGACGGTCGTACGACCGTCGAAGACATGCCGCGTTCTGGACGACCTTCGACCTCTACCACCGACGAAAACATTGAAAAGGCAAAGGAAATCGTGTTCCAAAATCCTCATGTGAGTGTTAGAGAGATAGCACGAGAGCTAGGCATCGGTCGTGAGATGGCTCGTTTGATTTTGGTGGACAATTTGTGTATGCGACGTGTCAACGCTCGGCTTGTTCCGATTCACCTCAATTTGTTCCAACATTATCAACGATTTTAAGGCCAAACATTCAATAAATACCATCGAACAGCCACCGTATTCACCTGATCTTGCACCGTGTGACTTTTTCCTGTTTCCCAAACTCAAATTACCACTCAGAGGAACGCGTTTTGAATCCATATAAGACGTAAAACAGAATTCGCAGAGGGAACTCAAAGCCATACCGGAAAGCGCCTATAAAAATGTTTTGATGATTGAAGAACGTTGGCATTTGTATATCGCTTCTAATGGAGCATATTTTGAAGGAGATAAAATAAATATTGATGAAGATTAAGAAATTTTGCGTTTTATTTAATTCGCGAAGCTTTTCGTTCACATGTTTATTATGTACTTTAAATTTAAAATTTACGTATCTTTTATAAAATGCAATATGAAGTTAATCCAACAAAAAACGTTTCGTCCCACTTTTGAGAATTTATTAAAAATAAATACAATGAATACAAAAATTTATAGTGGGGCCCCCTAAATTCGGGGGCCCGAAAGCGTTGCTTCCAGTTGCTTCCCTGTAGTTACGCCACTGAGCAGAAACTACGAATAGTAAAATTATAAGTTTATCTAATGCACAAATAATAATTTCTTTTAAAACACAAACTTCGCTTGCACTTCTGTTCAAACGAATTTAAAATATTTAACAATTAGAATAAGGCAATAAACTAACGTAATAAGTCAAATTAGAAGTAGAAAAGTCAATTAGTTGATTTTAATATTTAAAATCTCATTTAAATTTTTACTTTGTTACGTCAAAATTTTACACTATGTGCGCCGCCTTGTGACGAATGGCATCGCAAAAATTTGTTAGATTCAAATATTTTAAATAATTAAATGTAATAAATTAAATTAATAGAAAACTGTGTTAAAATCTATTTTAATAATTTCAAAAGCTCTTAATTGCTATAACAAGGTTTAAATCATAAATCACAAATAAATTTTATTACTCAGTATAAAAAATTTTGTACGTCGCAAAAATTGCAACATTGTGTTTTAGATTTGGCAGCACTAATATAATTTGACACTTCAGTTGTTTACTTCATTAGATTTAATAAAAACAAGAGAAGTCTATAGTAATATTATATATAATTAAATATAACTCAATTTAATATAAATATAAGATGGACAAATTAACAACAATAAGTGCAACACTTTTTATGGCAGCCGATGTATTTGCTATTGTCAGTTTAGCTATGCCTGATTGGGTGGTAACAGAGGAAGCAGGTACTGCAGTAGCATTAACTTTCTATCTTAAAAATAATTTTTGTATTTTATGTACTATAATATTTATTTTTTGTTTGCAGGTGATATAAGATTAGGACTAATGTGGACTTGTATGACACTATATAATCGTCCACAAGTCTGTTATACACCAGTTTTGCAACCAGAGTGGCTAGTAGCGTTAGTCTGCATATTTATTGGCTGCATTTGCATAACAACAACAGTAATTCTACTTGCTTCTAGCACTTGGGATCGTAATGTTATTCCTTATGCACGCTGGGTGGGATTCACTGCTATGGTACTATTTTGTCTAGCGGCGGTAGTATTTCCACTTGGTTTTCATATCGAAGAAATTGGTGGTCAGGCTTATCAACTACCGAACACCTATAAAATTGGAATCTCTTATATATTATTTGTACTGGCTTTGTGGATAACAGTAGTGTCGGAATTATTTGCAGGAAAAGTATGTCTACCACACTTTTAAAAAATTTATGTTTTTATATAAATTAAATTACAAGGAATATTTAATAATTGTCAGCTGAAGAGATTGAGATAAGAATTCTTATATTCAAGTACAATCCCTAATAGAAAGACAAAAAAGTATAGTCATTTTTATATAAATTCGTTATAGTGAACGAATGAATTAGTTTAGTATTAAAGTAGTTATACCAATCTCGAATCTCCAAATATGTTTAGCAAAATATAGATATTATAGTTTGACAAAATGATATATAATCGATTGCAATTCAATTAAATTAATTATATGATTTTTCGGAAAAACTAATATCAAACCTTTTTGTAAAAAATATTTTTTTATATTGTGATTTATTACAGATCAAATCTTAAAATTTTTATTTTCAGTTTATGCAAAGTAATAAAAAAATTTATAAAATATTTTGTAATTACTTTTAATATAAACTGAACTGGTATATATCTTTTTAGTCTTGTAGAGAATTATTTCTTTATACATATAAATGGTGCAATTCTAGAAATTATAGAATTCGTATAAATAAGTTATATATGATGGGAGTGAACAAACAAATATAGAAATATTTTCGAATCTAAATGCAATTCAATAATTTCATAAGTGAGTCGTTTATATTGTTAGAATAACAGTGTGTGAATAAGTAGTTGATTAATCTTGATTTTTTATATAGATAAAGGAAAAATAAATTTTATAATGAAATATTTCATGAAAAACATCCAAAACAAATCAAAATGTTTTGTACTTTGCTCAAATAAATAAATGTAAATTTATAGTTTAAGATATATAATTAAGAATTAGTTTATTATATTTTTAGTTATACTAGTTAAGAATTATTTTATTTATGGGACTATTTAAAAGGTTTATTCAGTTTATAACTAATAAAAAAATATCTGTATCGTTTTAAGCCAAAAATAAATATTACACTTTCTGTATAATAATGAAAAACATAAAAAAATAAACAAAAATTCTTAATTATTATTCATAAAGGTTGTAAATATTGCTTTAAAAGTTTAAAATTAGCTGGAGCGTGTATTGGAAAAATAGAAGCTATCCAAAGGACAGTTCTTCGAAAAATACATACAGGGTTGTATTATTTTCTTGTTTAGAACCATCTGTGTGGATCGCAGGAGATTGATTTGAAGTCGGATTAACCTTTGACCATTTTTTTTTTATATGCATATAAGTAGACATTACACGTTCGAGTATGGGGTATACCACAACTGAACCAAAAATCAGGATACTAATATCGATGAATCGCAGTCCGATAACTAGTCGAATAAATTTTATAGATTTTATTAAAATTGACCATTTTTGTGATAACTTACCATATTTTACATGGTTACTAAAAAGAAAATATAAAATAAAACCAGTTTTTTTTGATTGATTTGAAAAGGAAGCTCTGTCGCCGTTTAAACTGATCGTTCAACTATTTGTCCATAAGCGTTCTCAATGGCTTGGTAAAGTTGTATTATTGCCAATTTTGTATGTCGCAGTCTCGCATCGGTGTAGTCCATAATTTCAATAGGGTTTCTACATATTTTTTATATTTTATAATAAACATTTAGTATCTTGACTGAGGCACTAAAATGGGTTTCATAAATAAATAAATAAACCTTTACGTTTGGTGATAGTATAAGTTCTACAGATCAATTTACTATCGAGGTAAATACCCAACTCCCCTTGCAATATACTGAATGTCACATCCAAACAGTTTCATAAGGCTAAGAAGAAAAACCGCTATGGACTATCTTGTAATAAATGCCGTATTTAAAAGTTTAAATACAATAATAAGATCCTTCCTCAAAACTATTGAGGTATAAAGTTTCCTTTTGGTCTATTACATTCAAAAAAAATAAAACCAATATTGTTGCTATTGAAATATTTAATAAAAATAATTTCATATTTATTATTTTGAAAAAAATGTACAATGAAAGAAATATTTTAATATATATAATATTTTACTTAGTTTAAAAAATATAGGTTTAGTATAAAATGTTAAGTGTTAACAAAAACATGTACATATATATAAAAATTTCATCGGAGGTATTTAGTTATTAGAGAATTTAATTGTTTTCTTATTTTATTCTTTTTTCAGATAATTTTTAAATTTTTGTAAGAATTTTAAATTAACAATTTTCAATTAAAAATAGTTATATAGAAAAAAAATTAAATTTTCAGAATAGAATAGATTTTTATATGTCTTGTAGTTTATATAAATGTAATATATACAAGGAGAAGTAGATAACATCAATATGCCTTATTTTATATTTATGTAGCATTATTTTTAATTTAATTTTAAGCAATATGAGTTATTACTTAATTTAAAATAAAATTAAATATATTTTAATTAAGCGTTATTATGTATTAATTGATATATGCGAGAAGAATTACTACATTTTGGTTATTATGCTAATGCCCTTTAATTACATTTACTTATATATATTATTGTTTATAAAAAGAAAGATATATGAGTTTTTTGTTTCTTCCTCTTTCACATTTATAATTTTATATATATTATCGATACAAATTAAAGGAAACTTCATTATTTTGCCATTTATTAAGCCAAATATGTTTGAGTTTTCACTAAAATTTCATTTATTGTATTATTTTATCATTGCAATTATTGGTTTTCAAATCAAAAGTCCTAGTCTTGAAAAAATCAAAACACTATAAAAAGAGGACATCATTTATTAATGTAAACTTAGTTAATTAAATGAAATAATAAATTCAATTATTACTGAGTGCTAGTTTTGAAAATATTTTAAAATTTTTTTTTATTTGAATAAAAACTACTTATTTGCTTTGTTACTATTCAACACCTGTCCAATATAATTTAAATAGCCTAAGAACTAACTTTCTAGAGTAGTATTATTCAACCTTTCTTATGGAACGCTTTGCTTAAGCCTTTGAAAAATTATATGGCTCCTTCCTAACATAAACCCAAATGATATTCTATTGCTTTGTGTTTTCTTCTACATTCCTTTGGAAAAAATTCCCCTTACGTTTGAAAACACTGTTCTAGAAGACTTAGTCAGTTACAAAACCACTTTTTAAAGAACATCTTAGGTTCTATTAAAGTTAGCACTTGGTTTTAAACCCCACAGAAACTTATATAGCAACATAATAGGACAATAGACTTAGATGGAATCAGTATCGAATGAATATTTTAGTTATATTTATTTATATGATTAATTAAAATTCATATAAGTTTTGCAATTATGGTTCCTATGGTCGGGTTATATGATAATTGCACTATACTATAGAATACACTAGAGTATGGAGACAGAATTTTGAAGACCAATAGTAATTTAACACAAATCCTAATTGTTTATAAATCTGGTTGGTATTAGTAAAATATTCTAATTCAAAATCCAAAGTATACTGTAAGAATTACGAAAACATCTAAGGAATATGATATACTACATGGAGAGTAGTGACTCGAAGAAATTCATATGGTATACATTAAGGCCTTTGAAAAGTAACTGAGAGCTTTATAATGTAAAACTTTATAGTGTATTGTATTGTATTGTATTGTATATTGTATACAATAACACTGCTGCGCTAGAACATCTAACAAAATTATTGGCAGAAATAGACTAATAGTTATATGGTGAAACAGACTAAATTCTATTTTCAACAAAAGAGAAGAATACACAGGAATGGACAGATCTTTAGTTGTGTGATGAAAAAGGCCGAATTCTATTGAGAAGAAGAACAATTGCTATAAAAGGAAAGAACTTAAAACAGGACCTTGCATATGATCTAAAAAAAATCAATGTATTAAAGAAAATTATTTCCGAAGCAATGGGCTTTTAGGAACTGTGAGCTGAATGAAAGTACTCTGTCGAAAACTTGGAAATAACAATGGATTCCATTGACTATAAAGGAATAATGGATAATAGATAATTAATTATATTTTATTCTTCACACATTAAAAACAATTTTTACTTACTTTTTGACTAAGTAAATGATGGATTCAATATTAATCATGCCAAATATGCTCGCTTATGATAGAAAGACTACCATATTCATCTTGATTTATATTTATGTACGTACCAATGCTACTAATATGTCACCACAATGGGCCATTGTTTGAGCTCAAGTGGGCTTTTTGGAAATGAGGCCGCCACACCAAGATATCTACCTACTATATTCATCTTGAAGACTAAAGAAGCCTTTAGCAAGAAGGATTTTTTATATTAATAAGTCGTATAGATATTAACAGCCGTATAAAATCGGAAATGGTGTCTTTCAAATGGCTAAGATTCGAAGGAATATCTGAAGGATAGGTAAATAATATTGTGTGAAAAAATATTTCTTTTATAATCAAATATTTATTATGTATGTTCATAAGTCTATAAATTTGTCAATATTTTTTAAGTAGAAAATTTTTTTTAAAATTATAACAATATCAATAAATTTAATATATAATTACTATATAAATTAATATTATTTGGTGTTACTATTAATAATAAATTATATGCATTCAAAGGATTTTCTATGAATTTTAAACAAACAAAAACAAAATATATATAAACAAAGAAATATATAAACCAATTTCTTTATTGGTTATTATTTATTTTGCATTCAAACCAAAAAGCTCTACTAGATTGTATTACTGATAGATAATTATATTCTTACTTGTAACTTATATTTAAAATTAATATTTTTAATTAAAATTAATAACGTTTGAAAAGACTGAATGGTGTTTGTTCCGCTGGTATTAACATTTTTTAATATTTAAAATTTTATTGAAAACATAAAATACTCCTGCGTTTCAGAGCATTTCAATGTACGAGTATTTACCATGGACCATTTATTTTGTTACATGGTCCCAAAATTTAGGGAATATTCTTTTACCTTTGTAGTCCTTTTTGTTGTTGTTGTGTTCGTTTTTTTTTTAATTCTTTGGCTTAATGCATTGTTTCCTTCTCTGCAGATATAATATTTAATTATAAGATTAACGATAATTTGCTTTTTGCCTTTGAGGCCTTTATTATAATATTTCCTTTGTGAAATTCTATACTTTGTAACTTTTGTTTTTATATTTTTATTTTTTTTTTGTTATATAAAATAAGCGTCATAAAATGCAATTTATTTGGTTAATTTGAAAATGTAAATAATATTTTAAAAAAAGCTGTTGGCCTTTTTTTAATTGTTATTAAAATTTCGGCTAAACATTTTCTATGCGAAATGAAGTTTTTTTTAAGCATTTTACTTTAATATTAAAATTGCATTAAAAACATGAATAATTTAATTTTATTTTTTTTTTCTCTTAATTTTACATGAATTAATTTACTTATAATTTTCCATCAAATGGTGTCTTTACAAAATAAGTGACTAGATTGCCTTTTCCCTTAACATAAGTTAAACCACGACATTCGCACTCATAGCCGGCGGCCATTAAAATTTTCGCTGTATTTTCAGTTGTCTAAAGAAGGACAAATTAAAATTTAAATTAATTAAAATAAAAATGAATGAAATGAAAATAAAATTTGTAATTTATGTAAAAGGTCACTTACTTGTAAACGACCCATAACACCGCATGAGTCCATGCGTGAGGCAACATTTACTGTATTGCTCCATATGTCGTATTGCGGCTTCTGTGCTCCGATTACACCGGCTATAACTGGTCCATGGTTCAAACCGATACGCATACGAAATCGTTGAAAGGATTCCCGATTTATTGAATCTAAAATTGACATTAAAGCAATTGCAAATTCCACCAAAATTATGACGTTGTGCTCTTCTGTGCGTTTTTCATCCTATAAAATGGAAGAGTTTTGTGTGTGTAAAGTTTAACTGAAAAGAATCTGATAATATATATTTGTACATATTTATGTACTAATTTTTAAGTATAAATGTAGAGCTTGTCAGTTTGAACTCTTTAGGAGTTGTCATTTTTAATTCAATTAGATACTTATATAAAAATGATTAATAATAAATTATATAAATTATATGAAATTTTCTATATGATTGATAAGTGGGCTTTAAATCAATGAAGTCGTTATTTGCCGGTTAAATACGTTCTTATAACTCAAAACAGAGCTGAAACTGGTTACTTAATGGAACAAAACGCTTATCTATCATATGTGACGACAAAAGATCTATAATGGTTGCGTTGCTCTGTTCTATTGGGAACCCAGTACCATGCTCATTTATATTCTCTAATCTATACAGAAATAAAATTTTCACAAACACCTTAATAGAAATTATCATACGTCTTTACAAATGGTTGAAATGTAGAGATCAGATGTTAAATATACCATAATTTCTGGGTTGTTAATAGGTATGTCATCTATTTTTTAACAGTTAAATTAAAACTTTAATGTTATATCAATATTAATACATCAAACACTTTGATCTGCCAAAGTGTTCATTCTGTATTTAAAATCTATTTTATCATTATGCAGTTAATCACTGCTTAATCATTAATCTTTGCAATAAAAGGATTAAAAACAATGGAAATTTTTACATGTCATAACATCTTCCGAAATAGAATAATTAAGTGCTTGCGTCTCTTTTTTGAGATGTGAAATAAAACTTATAGATAGATTATCTTTAAACTGATAGAATAAGAAACTAACATTATTATCGTAATCGTTAATTCGTGAGAAAAAACTTAGCTTGCAACGTATGAAGACATTACATGTGTTTACAAAGTACAGCCTCAAAGAACTATGTACTACCGAGTTTAATTAAGATCTAACAGCTTAAAAGTCAAACTAAAGTCTTAAGCTAGTGCCTGCATGAACGTTTTTAATTTTTCTGCACGGTAAAGCTGTAAAATTAAATTAGCAAATCAGTTGATAGCAAGAAAATTAGAATATCAAATGAAAATTGTAATAAAACTTGATTGATTTTTTTATTCATATTCAACACCTGATTTCTCCTGAGACCTGATGCCTTGATTGATCGTTTATTAGGTGATTTGATAACTTCATTGATTCAATAGTGTGAATGTGTGTGATAAGTTTTTCTGCTGATTTAAAACTAGTTCAACAATCAATATTAAAAACAAAACGCAATTAATAGAAGTAATTAATTGATAGTTTTTTTAATATCAATTTAGAGAAATTAATTTTAAATAATTTTACTTTTATATTTAATATATACATGCTATTATTTACTCAGTGGTAATTCTTTATATAAAACCTGCACGATGAAAATCTTTGCAGAGACAACAGATGCAGAAGTAGAGGCCGTATAAATTGGTCTTTCATAGAAGTAGTAAAACAAAGACCGTATCAATCGTTTAATCATAGATCGTATTAACGGAGAACAGATTGATTAATGTCTGACCTGTAATTGCAAAAACATAACAAGAGTTTTTTTGTGTTTACAGTTACATACAAAACTGTAAGGAAGGGCAAAGACAAGTTTTGACAAGTTTTAATTCTAAAAGTCCGTTTATTCAATTATTAGCATTAAAAGACATATTTGAAAATTTAGTTGTTAGTTTTAAACGACGGGATCTTAAATGAAGTCGTTTTCTATGAATATATAATTGGTGTTCATTTTATATAGAATATTTTCGAGTTTTTAAATTGGTTCGCGAGTACGGGTTAATCTTTTTTATTATGTGAACTATACAATAAACTCTAGTGTTGGTAAAATTTCTTTTTAAATTTTATAAATTGGTGAAGAATATCATATTGCTTTATTAACACAATTTGTGTTCGAAGCCGGATTTAATTCATTATTTAGTGTTATATGCAATTTATTGTAAATAAAATTTTATTTATTTATGTGTATAATAAGAATATCTTTCTAGAAACACATAATTAATTTCAACTATTTAAATTACATTTAAAAAAAAAAATCGTATTTTAAAATTAAAGTTAAAACTTATTAGAATTATTAATATTTCATATATAGAAAAAAGTTTTCTTCATTATTTCACTAAACTGAGCAATGTAAACAAAAGGTGTCTCGACAATCGGCGGTACTTTAAATATAACAGTACTTATTAATTATTACTCATTAATGATCGTTGATTTATAAAAACGACAAATATCAAATGTAATGCAAGACTGAGATCATTAATTTAAATAGTTTTTTCTTAAGAGGAATTGGATAGTCAAGAAATACAGTCACGGTTGTCATATTGAATTATATTTTGGAAGATACGAGTGTGGTATAAAGAAAATTATTTAACGCATTTTTAAAGTTTTAATTACCAACATTCGGTAAGTTGAAAATATTTTACTTTCTTGTAATTTAATTTAAAAATTTTTTATTATAAGAAAAATATTAATACAAATATTAATTTAAGACTTTCGGATTAATAACTTTTCTGTTTGAAAAATTAATTTTATTATTATGTAAAATATTTTTTTACATGATCTCGTGCATATATATTTTACATATAAATGTAAAAATATTTATATTGCTTTTTCTCTGTTCTAAAAGAGATAATAAATGTGTTATGTATTTATATTTAAAAGATTTTTATAAAACAGAAAATACGCAGAATGTTTAAAAAGTAATTATTTGAGAAAATCACGTAATGACGCGTTACACTATTGCTTAGTATTATCAAACTTCTGTAAGCTCTTTAAGTAGTGCACTGCTTCATATTCTATAAAATATCCATTAAAGGTGAATATCACTTTTACATTTGGTAAAAATTTAATATTAGGAGACAAACAGAACCAAAAGCAATCATAAGGGACAATTCAATAAGGGATACTAGGATTAAACAGTTTGAAACGTAAATCAAAAATTGTCATAAGTCGATGCCTGTTAAATTTTAAGACGGATCGTTGATTTCGTAAAATAAAATTTTATCTTTAGAAGTGTTAAAGTTTTTTTGTACTATAAATGTTCAATTTATTAACTTTTGAAATTGTTAGTAACTATGCCTTCCTGACATCACAGAGTTCACATGTTTAAAAAATCTTTCACCTTTGACAATGAAAGTTATTTTGCCCAATTAACCACTAAATCTTTTTTTAAAACTCACTTCTTATGAATCTTGCTTTAAAATCTGATTCTACTAAAATGAAAATATGAAAGAATCACAAAAATTAAAAGAATTAATTCAAACATGATTTATAAAAAGTCTATTAAAATACAAATGTAGAAGAATATTAAATACAAATCTTAATACAAGTAGTTCTAATGATAAATTTTTCCATTCTCCTTTTGAACGCAGTTTATACTATCAAAATCCGGTCTGGAAAATGGTTTAGAGTGATGAGTATAACAGCAACATTATATATTAATTTTAACAGATAGGTCATTGATATATACCATCAATCTTGTAATCGTAGGACTTTAAGCTTGGCTTCGAGTTCTTAAAAGTTGAAAATGTTGCCTTACACGATGAAGTTGACTAATATATTAATATTATAACTATGTAATATTTGAAAAGTAGGTAGCCATATAATTCTATCAATCTTGAGTTATTAAGTTTAAGCTGATGCGAGATGCATTTATTTGGAGTATAATCAATATAAATTAAGAAACACTTGATTAGATTACTAAAAATAAGGAATTTATTAATAAGTAGGCAACTGATTAATTTTCCCAAAAAATTGATAAATATAGATTATTAAAATAAGTTAAAATCAAGTTTGATTTTGTATTGTTTCATCTTCTAAAATTATATATTTTTGCTCCTAGCCATATGAATTTCTTATTTTAATTTTTATTATAGTTTTAAATTAAAATTTAAAAAATCTTGATTTTAAGTTGTTTACAAGTATTTGACTAATTAAATAAATTAAAATAATTTTCCAAAAGTCAGACTTTTTGTTGTCAGACATTTAAGCTAATACCAGCGGTGTTAAGATTATTTTATTGCACTTTTGTTAAACTTCTATCAACTGTCATCTGCCACAGCCACTGCCATTAGCATAAAAATTGTTATTATTTAATTAAATCCGTCTTATTACACCAATTAACTGGAGTGCATAATGATGGCATTAGGGGTCATACCATAGCACTGACCCTCTTCAAATTTATTAGGATGAGTAATAAAATTTACAAAAATCATTGAGTTGCAGATTTAATTAAGCTGAAAATTTGCAGGAAAAAAATTAAAGCAAATTTGAAAGATAGCAAATTTAATTCATTGGAAAAAAAATTACTTTTCAAATTACTCTTAAAATTTAAAAGTTAAATAATTAACTTTTAATATTTAAATTTTTTATTGCAAAGAGTAATGGACGTAAAATGTCACATAGTCAGTTTTTAAACAATAAGTTATAAAAATTATTGGAGCTTAAATATCTTATATAGTAAAAATAACACTCAACATTAATGTTTTATTCCCCTTCCAAAAGTTGCAAAGAAAATTAAATTTAGTAAAAAAATATACAAACGGAATAGGGGCTCTAAAATTCTACATCTCCTTAAGCCGTTGTTTAATAATAATCGCTTCAACCTCAAAAATAGAAAGTTATTATTTACTCAAATAATTAGGCCAGCACTACTGTATGGATGTGTAACATATTGCAAAGCCTCAAATACTGCTATAAAGCAAATACAGATAGCACAAAATCTGGCTTTAAGAAGACTAATTAAGATTCCTTGGTATATTAGAATAACAGACATGCATAGAGATCTAAGAATTGACTCAGTGAAAAAATATATCAAGGACAGAGCCCTGATGCGTTGCCCAACCCTGCTCTAACAAACCTTAAGTCCACCTCAGGACGCACAAGAAGATATGCTGATCTACGGTCCGTTATCAGTTAGAAAATAAATAAATGATAATGATTCTAGTATAGTTAAAGTTTAACAGGGGTAATCCCCCAGCCACAATAGAGTAAAAGTACGCAATAGCACTAACTCCAATCACAACAACAATAACAAATTTTTAAATTGTTAAAAGTATTAATTATTGTTGTGACTGTCCAGAAATTCAAATGGAATTTCTGTGACCAGAACAGATTAAGAGTCCTTCTCTAGATTTAGTTCTGGACTTTGTTCACTTTAAAGGGTTTTGTGTAATCAATAGTGAAATTGGTACAATAGATAGCAGTCGGTATAATTAAATTTCATTTAAATAATTCAGTTTATTTAATATTCGTATTTTGCATGTATGTGATCTCATTTCTTCAATCTCATTTCTCAAATCCTTTCTATAAATAAAATTGCAAATTCAATTAACAATTCCATTTTAATTGAAAGATTATCCATTCTGTGGTAACGATTTGGTACAGAGCTGTTGCTGAAGGCATTATATGTTTAGCTTAAAGTTTGCTATTTTAAGATAAAGATTGCTCAAATGCCGTTAGACATGTTAAAATTGTAAAAACATCATTCAAAAGAGATTCTGTATCGAAAATCTTTTAGTGGTGGATCTCATATCCGAATGGTGCATTTACAAGAAGTGTGGTGTGGGGTTTGATTTGAAGATGTGACATAGGCGTACAAAGCTGTGACACAAAACGGTCAATTCAGATCGCTTCAGTCACATTAGAATTGAAGGAATATATGTTAAAGACATCTGGTTTTAGTAGGACGATCCCACAAACCACAGAACAGGTGTTATTTCAGCTTTATTGTGCGAGAAATTTCTCATTTTGGGAATCTGCATTTTTCACAAAGGTATGCGGTTTTTAACCACTGGGGTTTATGTTTTGTAGGGCTGTCCGGATCATTACTATATGGACAATCTCAAAGTCTCTACGTCATCGATAACTAAGTTTAATTGTATTTATTACAATAATATTTTAATAGCTGAAAACATTAATTATTTAATTATATATATTAACATTTTTTATTAACATTTTAATTATATATAATAAATATTACACTCAATTTTTAGTTTGATAAATTGAATTGCATTTTTATAAGTTTTATATTGATATCAATCATTTATTTAATTCGTAAGACCTTATTATCATTTTATGTTACCATCATTTTCTCATTTCCACTTTAGTTAGAAAAAAGTTTGAATGAAAAAAAATTCAGATTTTGCTTTTGATATTTATTTAGTTTGTTTTAATTAATATTTTAATTAATGAAATTTTTAAGTTATTTATAAAAAAAAGTTTAAAAAAAATAAATTTTAATTTATTCAAATTTCTAATTCCTTTAATACATATATACAAGTCAAACTGCATTTAGTGGAACTTACCGAAAAGTTACGCATCAGCTGCATAATGTTAGTAAACATTTAAAATAATTTATTTAATTAATTAAATCTTAGGATATTAATTAAAAATATGTAAATAAAATTTAATAAAATATTTTGACCTACCGTTGAACCATCTTCCTTTCCCGGCCTTAAACCGGAGGCACACATGTAAGTGCTAGCTATAGTTTTAATTTTTTCGATTCCACTGAACTTTGGTTTCAAAAGTAACTAAATAATTATTTTAGTAAATAAAAAATTAAATTTTAAATCATTTTATTGAGTGAAAATGAAAATTTGTTTTTCTTTAAATTTTACCTTATCGAAATCACAAATGATTTCATTTAATAGGCGTAAACACTCCAAACCCTGTTTGTTCACGTCTGTCTCATCGTAAAATTCTTTGTAGTTGGGTATTGAGGCAAACATGACAGCAACGCAGGAATAACTTTCATGATACAATTCAGTGGAACGTTCCTGATGCAAAAAGTGGGTGGCAACGTGGGCTGGTAAAATATTTTCAAGTAGGATCTAAAACAGAAAATATATAAATTATAAATATAATCAAGTAAAATAATTTATTCTTAGATACTAGCTCTTTACTTGTCTTAGTTTTATATTAATAATAATTCGATGAAATAGTAAATATATAATAGAAATCTATAAAAAAGTTTACCGGGTGTTCCGTGAAAAGAAAAAAATCATATGGATGGAAGGAATGATTACGTTATCAAAATTTATTGAAATACAAGGTATCAAGAAGTCATAAAATTGAAAAAGGCTCTTAGCTAAAAACCTCTGAATTTTCTAAAAATGATTTATTTCATCCGTAAGATAATATTTCATCATTAACATAATCCTAATGAGGTCAAATCCTATGATGGTTCAAAGATCTGTAAGTTTAGTTGCCTTTGGAAAATGTTCGATTATTTTTGCAAATAACCTGATTTTTCTCGAAATTGTTGAACATTTTTTTGTATTCATTTTTCCTACATCAATACCTTAGAATCTTGCAAACATTTCTTGTTACCTAAAATTGACAAGTATGGAATATGAATACATTAGTACTCATAAGCAATTAAGAATAAGTATATTTTCCTCACACTACACAACAGCACTTTTAAAATATATATTTTCCAATACCTTTATATTTTTATGAATTTATATGTTCTTCTATAGCTATGGATTTGGGACCAAGAATGCTATTCCCATTTAATCTAACCTATAGTAATGTTTCTTTTAATTTGCTGATTGCGGATTAAAGAAAGAACCACGTAAATACATACCATGGTGAGAATTAATACTATTGAATAACTTAAATTACGTTTACCACTTTTCAGGTGAATGTGAACCTTATAAAGAATTGATTTCTTACAATCGTCAACATCACCATCAATACTAATGCATATGTATTATAAATTAATAACTTAATTCACAAATTCGAATTCTGTCTTGGGTGTAGTTTTCATTTTTTTATTACACTTTTATGCTTTTATACTAGATATAATATATAATATATATATATATATATATATATATAATATATAATATATAAAATAACATTTGAATTGCTCTACAAAATGTTATTCATTTTATTCACTTTACTCATTCATGCAGTTAGTTTTTAACTTAGTTCACTATTTACTATTATATACTATATTATACATATTAAAATAAACAGCAAGTAAAATGTCAGCTAACAATAACTATAAAGAACGAAATAAAAAAAGAAACAATAGCCAAAGTGTCAAGTAGCACCGCTATATAAGTAATAATTAAGGAAATTTCACAAAAGAACCCTATGCATAAACGTATTCAATGTTAAAAAAGAATTTCTAATCAATATTTAATATGGCATTAGGGTAATCTACTTTCAAACTAGTGTTTTTATTCATATCTCTTCTATATTAGTATGTAAAATATATGGTATGTGGAAGTAATTTTTTACCTTATTTATACCGCGCATTGTTTCCACTTCTTCTTGTTCCACTTTTAATTTGGCTTTCCATAGGAAGTCAGTACGTGCTACATATTCGCCTTGTCGATCTAATGTGTGCAGAACCGCAATTACTAAGAGTAACAGTAAAAAGCCCTTCACTCCAAGCGGTAAGCTGTAAATAACAAAATTACAATAATTAATTCCTTATTTGATTGTTTTTGCAACTGTCAAACGCGTACTCCTTATCCAAGCTTCGTAAACTATGTTCGATATAGAGATCACTGTATCCTAGCACTATTACTTGACATATTAGTGCCAGTAACATAGTGCATAGTTTCAAAATGAATCCAGATCGTAAAAATGCCGAAATAGCTGCTAAACTAATGGCACAACAGAAAAGAAAGACTGGCGCACTTTCTATTTGCGTCTGGTTAATTCCAGGGATTTCAGATACTTTCGTGTCATTTGTGTCCAAGTCTGATGAATTGCTGATATTAGAACTTAAATTCATTATTGGTTCAGCAGTGAAATTAATCTATAAAAATGGTAAAATAATGGCATGTGATATTCTGTAAATACAACACTGAATGATATTCCAACTTACAACACTGAATACTGCACACGCCGATATAAGTATATTTACTATAACGAACATGGCAAGTCGTAAATATCGACTACTGGCAACAACTTGTCCTGGGCCATTACGATCTGTGGTCGAACTATTCACATCGGGTACTTGCATATTACTTAGATATAAAAATAATCCCAAAGACAATAAACTTGCTGCCAATGAACCCAGTAATGCGATATTTCTAAGTGAGAAAAAGCCATTACGCGAAAGAATATTTCAAATTATTTTAAGAAAAGTATTTCTATATGTATATGCATATGTATGTATATAAGCATAAATATATAGCTGTACATTAATAATACTTACAAATCTATTACAATCAATTGCACAATGGCAATTGAAAGGAAAAGCACAAAGGCGCATATCAAGTCGTACCGGAAATGCGTATCGGGCTGCGCACGGTACATAGCCTCGCGCGGTGTATTCCGATACCACATCGTAAACGGTTTTAACTCTGTTGGTGGTCCAAAGAAATTGAAATTGAAGCATTTACGCTCCGGTGGTAGCAGATTTGATTCAATCATTGCAATGCTCTGCAGGATATAAACGGAAACACAACATTTAATAAAAGCAATGAAGAAATATGGAGTTAGATTGACTGTCAGTGCGAAAAATTGTTGTCTGTGCAAATGTGAAAGTGTGAAAAAGTATAAAAAATTATAAAAAAGTGTGAAATAGTGGAAAATTGTGGAAATAAGTGGAAAATGCTGGGAGAATTGCTTTAAGTGTAAAAAATGTAAAACAATAACTCTGATGGCGTTGATGCCATTTCAGCAACAAGTCTATATACAGTGTATCCTCCTTTTTTGTTGTTGGAGTTGTTGTTTATGCAAAAGAACTGCTATTGTAAATAGTTGTTCTTTTTTATTCACTTCTTTTATAATACTGTTGTTGTTGTTGTTTTTGTTGTAATGCAGTGACTAAAGTTGACTTATGTCTGTTGCATTTTGATAAGGTTTAGCTTTGTTTTAAAGAATTTCCTTTTTTGAAATTAAATTTAAAATTTTTATTTAGTTTGAAATTCAGTGTAAAAGCGGAAAGAGTTCAGTGGGTAATGGTAGAGAGCGTTAAATTTTTGCTTAAATTTTATTTAAAATTTAAAATTTTTTTTGTCATCTTTACTCACAGCTAAGCCAATATTTTTCACCAATTTCGATTCAGCAATGTTGGCAAATGGCCTATCCGCGCCCCAGCATTCGACATATTTTGTCATCTTAGAGGATGGACGATTTCGTGTGACATGTCCTGTATATCATGAATAAAAAATAGTATGAAATAAATTGAAAAATGAAAAACCTTTTAAAACTAAAGTTGATGACAAGTTTTAAATTAAATTTCCTTTCAAGTGTGTTGATAGCACTCATAAAACTTGATCGTAAAAGCGTATTGTTGGCATAAGGAAATGCTGGCACTGCGATAATTTAATATCTTACACAAAATAACTTTCACCGCAAATAAATTGTGGTTTTTGTTAACGTTGCGCTTAAATGACTGCATTTCCTTTTCTCTGTAAATTTACTCATATTTACTGCTTATGAAAATAATTAATGAACATATTTTTGTAAAGTTTTATACATTCTTAAGTCATTTTATATGCTATTACTTCCTTCTCGTATGACTAAAAGCACTTAGTAAGCAGACATAAACAATAATATTTTAATACTTCCAGCAATTTATTTATAAATTTAGTATGAATAGTAAAACGATTAACTTAAAATTTGTTTCCATTAAATAAAAATTACTCAATAGACAAGTTAAGAGTTAGAAAATATATTCTAAAATAATATAGAAGTACATATGCTCTATCTATATATATATTTTATATATTTTTATTTTACATAAGAGTCTGAACTACTATCAATATATGGCAACACTCTAAAATATAGGTTTATTAAAATGTAGCTTTAGAATTTTAAATTTGACATAGGTTTCGAAAAATGTTTGATATGATTGATTTTTTTAAAGGTATATATTTTGCAAACCATCAATATTATAAAAAATTAATAATTCACATTAAATTATTTTCTTTCTTATTTTCAAACTTCTTATACAAATTTCTCCTCAAACTGTAGCAGTTTGTGGATATAATCTATTTAAGTTGAATAATTTTTTATTTTTTTTTATCCCAATTTTCTCTACTACATCTAAACTAACTCTAAAGAATTCACATTAAAAATGATACAAAATCATTGTCAAATTCAATAACAAAATTATTATTGAGTTGTACCACAGTTCAGTAATCTCGACATAAAGTTCACTTAAATTCATATGTCATTAGATGGTCACAATTTATATTGTGAGTATTGTGTGCGCTGACTCTGAGCTTCAAATTTGGCAGGGCATGAGTTCTATTCCTGGTATCTGCAATCTCAAAAAATTATTTACTAATAATTAAATATAAGAAATTATTCCAAGACCACTAATGATGGGTTTTAAGCAATACTCGAAATAGCTGTATAGTCAGCCAAAAATTCAATTAATTAAAATAATATAAAAACAAAAGAATTTTTGTTATTATAGTTCACTTCTTTTTGAAAAACCTCTTTGAAAAATTTAATGCTATGATTTATTAATATCTTCCATGTGTATTATCAGATCATTTACACGGATCTAATGAGTTTGGTTCTAAATGTTGTGAACTTAAACTCGACTGTTATGACTCTGAATGTTGTCAAACATTCAAATTTGACTGTCATTCAAAATCAGCTGATGTGTTTTAAAAACTGATAATACCTATATGTCATATAATGCACTGTGAGATTAAGGCAACATTAGTTCACTAATATAAAAAAAAATATGGCGTGTTTAGTGGTAAACAGGTTGTTTCCTTTTAATGCCATATAAATTCGCAAATATACAAAAAGATACTTAGCTATGTCCATTGATGTTCAATAATTTTCATGAAATATAATGTTGGTGCTTTAAAAGACAGGGAAATAATGTAAAAGACGATAAAAAATAGATATTTGCGTATACCAAATAGCAATAGAATGCCTGGATATATTAAATAAAAAAAAAGCTTTTTCGGAGCTTAGGTAGTGGTGCTTCAAAAGAAGTGGTAGCTTGTGCTTTTGAAAAATTGCTTATAAGGTAACAGTGATAATAAAGAGACGAACAACGGTAATACAGTTTGATCGCTAGAAGTATTTGGAAAAAAGTAAAGCCACCAGAAAAGAATAAATCTCCAAAAATACGAGTTTTCCCACAACGTGGTGTATCTACTTAAACAAGAGACTTTGCGAATACTAAAAGCATCAAATTAATGGATAAAATGGTTTTGATTTGAAATATTATGAAGTTTTTCAAAATCATATTTTATAGATGTCTCAAATGTAATGAAAAATATTGTTATGACAAATATTTCTAACATATGCAAAAAAATGTTAAAATGAATGAATTCATAAATCAAAATTTTTTATTTTTTGTCCCACAATATAAATAGTTCCCTACGTACTATCAAATAGAAACAAGGTGTATTACTTTTCTCAGTCACAAAAAATGTATTAAACATTAATAATTAATGATTTGTAATCTATGCTATTCTATACCACAGCAACTTGACCATTAAGAACAGCAGATATCAATTACAAGCAATGAAGTTTTACTAATAATGAGGTGCGAACGAGAGCTGTTCACATTTGTACCGAAAAAGAAAACATCCTATTTAGGATATGCGAAATTCCAAATACGAATTACTACAAGTAATTATGCAAAGAAAAATAAATAAAAACGCGATATTAACCAGAAATAATTAAATATTATTCTGGTTGATCCTGCCAGTAGTATATGCTTGTCTTAAAGATTGAATCATGCATGTCAAAGTACATACGAATTAACAGTGAAACCGCAAAGGCCTCCATATATCAGTTATGGTTCCATAGATCGTTAACAGTTACTTGAAAAACTGTTGTAATTCTAGAGCTAATACAAGCAAACGTGTGCTTTTATTAGGCTAAAACCAGTGGCGTAACTACATTTTTTAGGCCTGTAAGCAAATTCTAACTAAGGGGCCCCTACCAACATACTAAGGGACCCCTCTTTTTATACTCTTTACACGAAAAAATGTGAGAAGAATATATAAGGTTTGTCAAGATTTTCGTAACGCATTAAAGGGAACGTCGGAAATACCATTAAGTATATATCAGTACAATATATATATATTTTTTCAGTTCAAACTACTCGCTCAGCTTTTGAACTCTTCGAATGAAACTTTACACACATACTTTTCGGGAGCCGACCCTGTTCACCATTTGATTTGATTGAAATTGGACGTCTATTTCTTGTAGCTGTGATATAAACTTAACAATCGGATATGAGGTTTCTCCGTTTTTAATAAAGGTATTCAAATGGAATTTGGTGTATACAGTACTGATATTTGCAAAAGACAACGTACAAAATTATTTTCAAATGGGGTTAAATCTAGATATAGCTTCCATATAAGTCTCTATAAGTCTCTATAAGTTTCATATAAGCTTCCAGTTGCTTCATTGTAGTTACGCCACTGGCTAAAACCAAGCGATTCATTGGATAGTTATAATGGTTGAACATAAATAACATGCAGATCGTATAATCTTGTACCGACAACAGATCTTTCAAATGTCTGCCCTAGATTGGAATACAAAACATTGTCAAATTTAAAGATAATACGAGAAACAGAGAGAAAATTATAACCACATTATAGAAAATGTGGTTAAGACAGAAAAGGATTATTTACATTTAAGCTCCCAAAACAACATTTTCTTAAATATATTTAATTTTATTAAAATTTCTTTAAATATTGTTTTTTTTAAATTTAACTTTAAAAAAAAAAAGTAAAATATATAATAATTATGTAAAAATTTTATGAAAATTGTTTAAAATTTCAAAATTTCAAAATTTTAATTTTTGTTCAAAATAATAATTAAATTATGAAATGCTTAAGTACTTTACTTCAAACCGGTTTAACCGCGATAACTTTACGTTCAAATTAATTATATTTATATATACAGTTAATTATTTTAACATTATTTCATTTAAAGTAATAAATTCAACTAATAAAAGTGTACAAATTAAGCTATAACTCCTTCTATTCACATATTTATCCCATACTAATAATATTCGTTTATTTTACCTTTAAAACACTCTCCATCTTTTTTATTTAAATTTTTGACTTAAATTGCTACTAATACAATATAATTTCTAATAACATAATATATGGTATATAGATTTATAACTCACCAGTATGAGATCGAAAGCTTTCTCCATTATGTATTGAAAGTTTTCTGCCTTCAATAAAAGCACCTGAGGAACGTCGCCTATCCGCAAAAGACATCAATCCTAAAATACGAATATGTGTAGATATATATTTACATAGATAAGTATATATATATGATTATCTTAATATAAATTTAATGTCTAGGCTTATAAAAATTAACATCTAAATACTTAAATCAAACAATTGATAAATTTATAGTCTTTGATTTGTCAAATATATAATAAATAAATATATGATTTCATGAGTCAGATCTTGATAATGTCAAGATCTTACATAAAGAAAGAAACCAAAATAAGAGGTACGTTCTGGAAATGCTTTCAATGCTAAAAATTCTGAACATGAGACTAAATTATAAAAGGAATGCGGACAACTGTCTCTAGACTTATAGGAATATTGTCAACAAATGACACAGGATATTGTTTATGTATTCTGTTATCTTTTTTTTTGTGTTTTTTTATTGTTATTATTATTATTGTATTTCTTATATGATTTTCTTTTAATTTTTCGCTATAAATTTTAACATTATATATTTTGTTAGTTCCCTGAAGATGACTATCGAAGTACTTCGACAGTATTTCAATACCACTTCAATAGTACTTCAAATATAATTTGTTTAAAAATAAATAATAAATTATAGTTTTTAATTAAATGACCAATCAGCCCGCTTAAAATTATTACAAATATATTACCAAAAATTTATTTAGCGAGATGTTGACCTGATTATATTCTAAGCTTATAAGCTACTGTACGGAATGCACTAACTTATATTTGACGAATCCTAGGACGAAATCGTCCCTAATTCACAATATTTACTACAAGTGGTAGATTATGTAAATAGACGGTTACAGAATAATAATAAATGACAAACACAATGCGTTGTGAGGTCCTAAAAATTCGCAAATTAATATAGCTATAGTGATAGTACCTTACATTCTGGCTTGACAAATTGCTGAAATAATAAACCATCACATAACAATATTTAAATATTTTTAATAATTATTCTAAATAAAGAAGATAATTATCAAAAAATAAATTTTTTATATAAAATATATTTTTTAGTTATGTTCCATATATTTCTATTAACTTTTGCAAAAATGATTAGCAGCAATGCAAATCCGTGAAATATTTAGAAAATAATCACGAATTAATAAAATAATTTTTAGTAAAAATTATAGGTAGAGACATTGTCTAAAAATTGACAGAGTCTAACCAAACATATGCACATAAATGTTTTTTGTTTGCTGTTAGGTCTATAGGTCCATGGTGCTACCGTATTATTAAAATAATAAATAATAATTATAATAATAATTATTAAAATAATACGGTAGCACAATAGACCTAAAGATTTAGACCATTTAGAATCTTTGGCAAATCTTATGATGCTATCCAGAGGGAGGGCCTGAAGTTCGCCAAAATCCTCAAAAAAGAAAACCCCATAAGTGGTAAAGCGGCGCCGCGCATATGCCGGACAGAAGCAAAGCAGGTGGGAGGCACTTTCATCACCACAACTGCGACAGATATGGTTGAAAGGGAGATTTAGTTTCCTAGCATGGTTATTTTAGGTAACAACAAGTAATACTTGTAAGTAAACCTACTGCAAGTGTGATATCTCTACGTGGCATCTCAATGAGAAAGTATGATTTCTTGGATGTAACTTGGACTGAACTCAAGGACTTTAAAGCAGCTTGACTATCCGATAGTATGTATATATTCCTTTCAAGTATATTATCTACTTCTAAACAAGCTAAAGTTTCCTTTATGGCAATCACTTCTGACTGAAAAACACTACAGTGATCTGGAAGCCTATAATAAGAGGTTATATTCAGCCCTTCTGAGAAAACTACACTTCGTACACCCCTCTTAGTTCTCGAACCGTCAGTAAAAATGATTGAAACCTCTCCCAAATTTACGAAATTTTTTTACTTTTAGGAATAACATAAATTATAAGTTGAAGTCTTGAGTCTCAAGAAACAGAAGGCTTTTAAATAACGACAGGGTGTGACATTATATCTTTTATTATACTGAAAGAGTATTGTATTCAGGTTTTGTTTAACAAATTCATTTTAACATACGTATAGTTTTTGTTAATGTAATAAATGTATAAATATAAGTCTTTGGACTCAATACGTTGAGAAGTAAACTATATTGGCATATAGCGTAGAAGAATAAAATAGAGGCTTAAAATAGATGACTATAACAATCCACAGTACAGCATCCAGGAAATCGAAATTATGCTAAGAATGTAATATATTTCACTGTAACATAAATAATTTTTCTTAAAGAAAATTGGACTACAAATCATTAAACAAAAACGGCCTAATATCTAAATTATTTAAAATTGAATTATATAAATTTGGGTCGCAAAAAAGTTCCATAATAAAAGTTTAAAACTTTTATGATTAAAAATTAACCACAAATATTTTTAGAATTTTCTTTCTTCTTTTATATTACTTTTTTACTGTAAATTAGAAATTGAATTTCCGTAATAAAGTGGAAAACATGCGTCATAACATTTCTGTAGAGAAATTGTTAAAAAGAATTTCATCATACATCAGATTTTTATTTCTTGACGAAAATCCTGCAAAATATATCCTTCCAGCAATTGCGAGGATACATTGCACTTCACAATTGCGTTGTTTCGATGTCAAGTATTAAAGGTAAACTTTATCATGAATTACTCTATACAAGGACAATTCCCACCGGAAAAATCTCTGATAGACTATTCTTAAGTTGCTATAGAAAGTCAGTCAATAATGTATGTAGGTCAGTTATAGTGACTTAAATAAAAAAAAGGATTTTAAATTTAAAAAGGATTTTAAAAATGAGTAACAACATTTTTATTTATCGTAAAATGAAGGAAAAATAAACTGTAGTTTTAACAATAATAGTTTAGTTAATAGTAGTTCTTGGTAAAATAAAGTATCAATAGTTTTTTGGTATATGTATAACTGTATTTTAATTAAAAAATCTTTTATAATATTTTTAAGGTTTATGATTATTATTAGAAAAAAAAACTCATAAGCGTTTTAAAAAAATCAAAATTTGGGTTTGTTACGAAAATGTTTCCTGTCTTTGCTTTAAAATATACACCGAATATTGAATATCTTAAATCAAGATATTTTTTAAATATTTAAATATATCTTAAATTATTTTTTAAATATTTAAAAATATTTTGTATAAAAAAAAACGCTTTGTATAAGATTTAATTTCGCTTCGATTTTTGGAATGAGTAAAATAAAAAATAAATGAAGTTCAAAATATAAATTCCACTTTATTTTATTCATAACTCTGCAAAGACTTCCGGCACCACTTTTTATGTCATTTGGACATTTGGTTCTTTTAATCTAATTTTTAATATTTTATTGTAAAAATAATGCTTAATTTTGTTACCCATTAGAATGCTGAGTAACGAGTGATTTAAAATTCTTTCATTTAAAATTTAAGACCATAATTTATCGCATTATTCGATTCAAGGATAATAGCATTCTATTTTCGCAAACTCTACTGCTTACCTTGCACTGAAAGCCTTCTGCGTGATTTTTCCGGTGCATCGCAAACCATTAAATTATTACCAGAACCACCACTACCAATGGTTGTTGCTGTAGTCGTAGTGGAGTTGGTTGTGCCGCTTGTTGTTGTATTGGAAGCAAGTGCTTGATTTGCAGCACCATCGCTATTGCTAACATTTATAATGTCGTCATTTGGCAAGGATAATGATGATTTCGCTGCAATTGTTGGTTGTTCGGTTATGTTAGAGTCAGCGCTACCGCGGTGCATCGATGTTGACAACTGTGATTGTGAATCAGTTGGTTTTACACGCAGTAAATTAGTTTCATCCTCTTCTTCCTCCGACATTTCTTTGATTGACATAGAGGCAGCTGAACCCAATGCTGGCATCATTGGTTCTTGACTGTTCGTTGATGATGGCGACAATTTGCCGCGATCTAATTGTAAGCTTCCGCCTCCACCACAACTAGAAATAGCATCTTCCTGTCCACCTGTGGGAGTTGTTGAATTTGCACAGAAGTTTGTTACTGTAGTTGGCAGTAATTTGTCGGTAACATCACAATCGTTTGGTTCGGGTGATGTGGTGCTTTCAATGACTCGTGGCACAAATCGTGGAAATTGTGATTTCTGTAACAAAATACTTGCATTTTAAAATATCTTCTGTTTAATGAACGGTAATTTTTTCATTTCATTTACCTTCGGTGGAACAATCAAATATGTTTCAATTTTATGATCCGCTAGATAAGTATCTCTGCTAGCACCGTTGCCTTCTTCAACCTCAAACTTATCGCCGAGAAACTCCAATGTTTTCTTTGTAATGTGCACTCGCCTGAAACAAATAAATTGTTTTGATTTTTTAAATTTATTCTTCATTCAACTGCAAATGCATGCCATGTTCGAAAAGATTCTTTTCCATTATTTTTCTTAGTACTTGGATTATTTTCTTTTAATGTTGCTCAACAGAGATTGCTTTTATTTTATTTCATCGAGTGTGTGGCTTAAAGCGAAAGCAAATTAAGAACTTCAAAAAGAAAGTCTTGTGAAGTGTGAATATTCTTTTCTGTTTTGTTTTTTTTTAAATATTTAATTCGATTAAATTAAATTAATAAGCGTTATCTGACTTTTACCTTCTTCAGATGTTTAATTAATGTTAAATATAAAACATATTACACTGTATAGGGGATAAAGACATAATATTAAGGGTTCAATTTTGTACTCACCCAGCCACACCACCACTTTCCATGTGATTTGCCAAAGTAACGTCATCACTCCACACATCGAACTGCCATTTACGTAGACCAAGGACACCACAAAGGACATTGCCGGTATGAATACCGATTCGCATATCGACATTTATGCCAGTTGCCTCGCGCACATGTCTAGAATCATACAAAACACACAACGAGAATGTTTTTGAAATTAAAATTCAAACACTTCAAGAACTCTTACACAGTAAAAGATACATATAAACAGAATGTTTAAACAAAAACAGTTAATTGAATTTCTTGCTTGCTATATTTCAGTGTATAATATATAGTATGTGTAACTTTTACGAACTAAATATTATCTCTATAAATACACTAGTGTACTGGAATACAAACATTTTTATTATTATTTTTAATGTTTATTATATGGAGTATCTGAACTAAAATCAGCCAAGCAGCCCAGAGACAAGATTAACATTTTACATTTCTTTATGTTACTTTCTTTACTTATAAAACATTAAAATGAAATTTGTCTCCATAGTTTTAAATCGTTTTTTTAATTTTTTTTTAGTCCTCCTTCTTTATTACAATTCGTCTAATTTCACTTGATAATAAATAATAGTTTTGGATATGCAATACAAGACGTATATAAAGGCGAGCATAAACTTTTTTCAGTGATATATCTACATATATTTAAAAGTAATGGTATAAATTAATCATTTATTTCAAGAAGGAAACCGAGAATTTTTCTTCTTCCACACCATTCAACTTCTCGCCTATATATTGTGAATGATAGTCTGTCATCCAAAAACTTGCATTCGTCATTTAAGAGCATATTTCTACGTGATTCCACTAACACACTTACAGCGTGCGTAAACACCCTTATTCTTCAAAAATGTTGCTTGAATGAGAACTTTTGAATGTAACATTTTCAAGTTCGGTTGCTAGAATAAGTTTCAGTAAGAGAGAGCGCAACTTGAATGACATTCAAAAATAATAGTCTGGACCGTGCTTAAGAAGGTGTTCTAGGGAGACATCAGGTTCATTACAAACGGGTTTGAATAGAGACATATTCGATTTTATAAAAAAACACCAAGGTGCACTATTTCAATTATTTCCAAAAAGCTAACCAAACAGTTGATGAAGTCGAAACTTTTACAGTTGTCTTTCAAAAATCGTTAGATATACAAAATATAATAGATTTTGATATGCCTTTGCCACTTGTTGTGCCGTTCCATGCAGTACAACAAGTACTTTTTTGGCTTATTTTATTTATGTGAACTGGATACCAATATCATGCAATTATATTTTAGGAATAAACGTGATAAACGTTCTGAAATTTATAGAATTCAACAAATAGTAAACATTGAAAATGAAGCACTTGCATGTTACTTTTGAGCCAAAAACGGTGTTGCTATAGACAATATCAAGTTTCTTTGACTTGATTTTGTTGTTAATGAGGGATGTTAATGCTGCAGGTTTAAGTAGTACTGTTAAAGCAATACTTGACGATAGAATACGTAGTGCAAGACCATACACCCGGTGGAATGACTAAGTTCAGGGGCAGTAAGGACGCTTGATGTTTGAGACTGTAAAAGGCGTGAACAAAGCAAAGGCGCTTGTAAGGAAGAGAAGAGTACTGCGTCTTCTCGAAATCCAATTGGGGGTTGTTATGGTCGAGTTAGTAAATAGATAATTAGTGGATAATGATTAGGTATCAGATCTATTTTTAAACAATCTTTCAACATAAATTAACAATAGTTTTTTTTTTTTAATTTTGTTCAAACTTATTTGTAAATTCACTACTTCACTATGTTAGTCAAACTTTTTTAAAGATTTTTAATTATCATTTTCTCATTGAATTTCTTTGCCAACATACATTATAGATATGAAGATACTGTAGTGCTAGAATAAGCAAAATAAATCATGTTTTAATATTTTATTCGAATTGAAGCAGTAAAACCATGTTTCCACTGATCTCATTTAGCTCTTAATACTATGTGCATACAGCCAAATTTCTTTAATTTCGTTCAAATGAAATTAGGTTAATTTGGAAAGTGTTCATACTGCCACAAATTAAGGAGATCTTGTGTTTTAAAATTACATATGTTTTACAATCACATGCTAAAAACACCATTGGTATCTAAGAAATTTAAATTATTTTGAATGTAATAAGTTGAATTTGAGAATGACAATTAGTAGTTTTATTAGCTTTAGTCGATTTCAGGTATGTGGATTTTTATTTTTCACTTTATTTTAAATTAATAACAGTTAAAGTTTCTTCTCCATATTCAAATTTAAAAATTTGAACTACTTTCAAAATCTTTTCAACTGTTTTTAAAAATTAATGTCACGTTTCCGTTGTCTCAACTTATCTTTTAGTTAAAATTTATATTTTTCATAGTTGCATTTGAAATTTCCTTTAGTTTCAGTCTTCGTTTCAACGAAATTAAGGTCGTGTGCGAGTTCGAGTAAATTGAGGTAAAATAAATTGAAATTTCTTAAGGATTTTTTGCACTGCACTCATTTATTTATTTATTGCACTTATTTAGTATTTTTGGTTAAAAGTTTTCAAATATATTTATTTATTTATTAAACATCTTTTCAAATTTTCACAATGGTAACACCTAATTTACCTAATTTTTATCTACTTTACCCTACTCGAAATTGTGGTAAATACCAACATTCGCTGCCATACCGACATAATGTACTATTTCCTTCAAATTACAATTTACTCGATCTCGCACACGACCTAAGACCATTTTCCTTAATTTTGTTCTAATCTTAAAGCTGTATGGAAAAAAAACAATTTTTTTTAAGATGTGAAAATTAAGATGTGTCCGTACATAGTATAAGGCCGCAAATGAATATAATTTGCCATATATGGTATGGTAATATATGCTATATGTCTTTTATATAAATGAGCGCATTATAAATAATTCAATTTACTTATGTAAAATGAAATATGTCGAATTCAACCCTTAAAAATAAATTTCCCACAAGGGAAATTACCAAAGTTTTCGCTTTTTTTTAAAATCAAACCGAACATTTTCCTTTAAAAGATTTTACAGAAAATGTAATTATAATAGAAATAAGAATAATAAAAAATTTACAATTCCCTATGCACTTAAGATAATTTTCGGTTTAATATTTCTTATACATCAATATATAGTATGAATCTTAATTAAAGTCGACGGAATTCACTACGTGGCAGTACTGAAATAATTTTTTGCCTAATTGTTTTTGTAAATGAAACAATTCTTATAGTTAATGGAAACGACATTCGGTTTTAACAACTTTTGAAAGAGATAATGAAGCATTTAATTAATTAACGTGTAGTTTATTAATACATCGTTTATGATTCGTTTATCCAACAAGGTCAAAGGAGTAAACACCATTGAACTTAAGGGTAATGTGAAGTCATTTTGCTGCGGCAAAACACCACAAGTAATTAATGTACTATCAGCAACCCTATATATATTCTCCCTTTTGTATATAGTGACTATTTTCTCATTTAAAAATAAATGCAGGAAAAATAAATTTAAGCCTTAAAGATTTCGGACCCATTTTGTTCTGGCAATTATACTACATAACCTCAATTATGTGCGCTACCATTTTCGTCATTTAGTAGAGTTTCACATTCAATACGAAATGCCTAGAAACGTACGTGCATCGCATACCAGATACGGACGAAATAGTTAAATGATGCGTTTATGTTCGCCCCATCGCACCGCACATAGAGAAAGCTCCATAATGCGAAAAAATAATGAAACAATTGATTTTTATGAATATTTATTGACTGCTGTTTTGATTTTAATAGAATAACCGAAAAAATAGTTGAGTTGACAGTAATAAAATGCAGGTATTTTTTGCGATTTAAGCAGAACAAAAAGAAATTCGTTGCTTAATATGAAAATTTCAAAGTTCATAAATCTCAGATAAATATAAATATCGCAATAAATAATGAATTCATGCAGCTTTCTGATATTTCTGATACGTTCTGATATTTTGCGAAAATGGGTTGATTAATGGATATTTCCAAAAGTATCCACAACGCACGTAAATCTCTATTGCCTTTTTTGCAATCAATGAATTCAGTGGATTATGCATTTAAAATTTCTTTCAATTTTATTTCGTTTTTATAAGCTATTAACAAAAAAAAAAGCAAATAAACTGATTTATAAAACCTTTTGGAATAAAGCATGAATTTACCATTATTGTACGAAAGATTTAAGTATTCATGGATTAAATATTTCATTTTGTTTATTATGCATTAAAAATGAATTTTATATATTTATTCCTACTATAAACTATAAACAATTTTTTTAATTTTTTTTTTGTAGTGTTCATCCACTTCATCCATATTTCAACAAATTTATTTATTAAACTAATATATTCAAATAGATTATGGAAGAAGTTGCTCAATGTTCCTCATATTTTTATAAAAGTGCATCACAATATTTCTGATTACTTGTTTGTATATGTTCAGGAGCACTGTAACGTTTTTATGGGAGAGCTCACACTGTAATACCCTTTTTATAGCACTCGTGTTTCACCGTGTATCTTATGGACTTATTTACACTACCGGCAGCTTGACGCTTAAAACTGATTTCTTATATAATACAGAAGGACGAGAGTTTGATTTTTGATTTTTATTCTTAGCAATTGCTTTCCATTGTTCAAATGGACAGTACAGTTCCGAGTTAAGAGTTGTGCCGTAGGTGATCAGCTCATAATAAATAATTCCATCCCAAACCCACCAAACACACAGCAAAATCTTCCTGATTTGGCCATCGTATCAGCCAGCTTACTGCGATTTAACCAAGAACACGACCATTTTCCCTTGGCGTTGTCATAAGTGACCAGTCACCACTCTTCATCACCAGTTACCAACTGCTTCAGAAACGGGTCGATTTTGCGTTAACTCGTGTGGCACCGATACATAGAGCTTATTTGTGTATCCGGCCTTATTCAAATAGTTCTAAACCATTTGGTTTTTTGTGCAATCATCAACTCTTGGACAATCGAAAAAAAAAAATTTTAATTATTTTTATTTTTTATTAAAAATCTGATGAAGTGATAAACAATAATGCAGTTAAGGCGTAGAGAGGGGTTTTGAAGAAACCTCGAAGTTAATGGAGAGTAAAAGTGCCTAAGTGCACTGACACAACCAG